GACAGAGAGACAGCGAGAGAGGGAACACAAGCAGGGGGAGTGGGAGAGGGAGAAGCAGGCTTCCCGCGGAGCAGGGAGCCCGATGTGGGGCTCGATTCCAGGACCCCGGGATCATGACCTGAGCCGAAGGCAGACGCTTAACCGACTGAGCCACCCAGGCGCCCCAAATAAATAAAATCTTCAAAAAAAGAGAGAGAGAGAGAGAGAAAAACAGAACTGTGTTGGCTAAGATGAAGGTGGAGGGCGGAGAGCTCACAAAACTCCCTCCTATCTCTCAATGGTCAGGAACACTTTGGAAGAACAACCTGACAGCCACTGACCTAGGCCAATTCTCTTATTCTGGGGATGAGCACACTGAGGCTCAGAGAGGTTCAGGAGTCACCCAAGATCACACAGTAGGTAGCATATGCAGGACTGGCAGCCAGGACTTCTGACCCCTGGTCAGTTCGCTCTCCACTCCTCAGGCTCCTCATGGGCCAGGAGTGGGGGGAAGGGAGGAGTAACTGACAGCAGAAGTGGGGCGCACAGCAGGTGGAAAATGGGGCGGTGAGGAGGCAACAGCATTTGACTGAAGGGGTGACAGTCACCCAAGCCAGTCCTGCTCTTACTTCGTTCGAGCCTGGGAAGAAGGGAGCGCCTGGGCAGCACCTGTGGCGTCTCGGGCACGTGAAGCTAGTTTAACAGGCTCCTCAGGTAGCATCACTGGAAAAAAAGAGAACAGAAATGATGCCATTTGGCTAGTGAACTGGAGTCAGATGGAGAGGACTGGAAGTTCCCCACCAAGCTCTCCCAGGAAAACCTTCTCCCAGGAAGTTCACCCTAAATGCCAACTGGGGCCCAATGAAGAGCCCAACCCTACTGCACCCCATCAAGCGTAGGAAGAATGATGCACTTCCATCACCCAGAGCTCTCGGCTGAACACAAGGCTTGGGCTCCATGGGTCCTTCTGTGCCAGGTCGGGGGAGCCTCAGCCTGGTTGCCCCCAGTGAGCTCCCCACACCCCAGAAGCCCCGCTCCTCATTACAGCAGAGGGGGACACACACGATATCCAGAATATATAAGAAACTCCTACAACTCAATAGTAAAAAGACAACCCAATTTAAAAAAAAGGATCTGAATAGACCTTTCTCCAAAGAAGATACACAAATGGCCAATAAACCCATGAAAAAGATGTTCAATGTCAACAGTCACTAGGGAAATGCACATTAAAGCCACCATGAGAGGGCAGGGGGTGGGGGATGGGGTAACAGGGTGACGGGCATTAAGGAGGGCATGCGATGGAGGAGCACTGGGTGTTACGTAAGACTGATGAGTCACTGAACTCTACCTCTGAAACGAATAACACTCTATATGTTAATTAGTTGAATTTAAATTTTAAAAGATTTAAAAAAACCCACAACGAGATGCAACTGTATTATACGCGCCAAGATGGGCATAATCAAAAAGACAGAAAATTAGCAAGTGTTCGCAGGGATGTGGAGAAACCAGAACCCTCGAACGCTGCTGGCAGGAATGCAAAATGGTGCTGCTGTGGACAATAGTCTGGTGGTGCCTCAAAAAGCTAAACACAGGGTTACCATATAAGTAATTCCATTCCTCGGTATACACCCCAAAAGAACTGAAAACATATGGCCACACAAAAACGTGTACCTGAATGTTCCTAAGAGCATCATTCATAACAGCCTGGGCCAAATGTGGAAACCACCCAGGTGTCCACCACCTGTGATGAGTGGATCAGCAAAACATGGTCCATCCACACACTGGAATACTGTCCAGCGGTAGGAATGAATGAAGACAGGAATGGCTCAGTGTGGGTGAACCTCGAGAACACCGTGGTGAGTGAAGAAAGCCAGATGCAAAAGCCAAGTATGATGTGACGACATTGTATACAACATGTCTAGAACAGGCAAACCCACAGGGAAGAAAAGTGAATAAGTGGTTGTCTAGGGCTGGGGGGAAGGGAGAATAGGAGGGACTGCTAATGGGCATGGAGTTTGTTTATAAAGTGATGGAAGTGTTCTGGAATTAGATTGTGGTGATAATTATGTAACTCTGTGAACATACTAAAAGCCAGTGAATTATAAACTTGAAAAGAGTGTATTTTCTGTGAATAAGATTTCAATCAAAAAAAAAAAGGGGGGATTGGCCTGGATGGCTCAGTTGGTGAAGAGTCTGACTCTTGATTTCCGTTCAGGTCATGATTTCGGGGTCATAAGATCAAGCCCTGCATCAGGCTCTGCACTCAATGGGGTTCTGCTTGGGATTCTCTCTCTGTCTCTCCCACTGCTACCTGCCCTACTCTCTCAAATAAATAAATCTTAAAAAAAAAAAAAAAAGAACAAGCCTAAATCAGGGGATTCTGCAGAAGGGGCACTTACTCTCATCCCCCAAGAGGTCACCAAGGACATCATCAATGGAGCCTAGAACAAACAGAAAAGGAACGGTCAAGACTTCAGAAGGAAAGAATGTCATTAACAAGCCTCATGTCTTGAGACCTCATCCCAATTCCAGACTCCTCACCACTAGAGTGCTCAGATACTGGGACCGGGGCCCAGCTCTCTCTTCAATGGCCACGAGACGTTTCCTAACTCTCTGGCAACAGATCGCAATGCCTTGTTGAAGGACCCCAGGGTAGAAATTGAAAATAACTCTCTCAAAGGATGATGGTGAGGATTTTCAGGAGCGCCTGCATTCTACAGGACACACTGGCCAACAAGCCAGTTTTCCAGACTCTGAATAAAGCCTCGTGTGCTTCTTTGGGAAAAGAGTCCAAGATTTCTAGGCACACACAAGCTTCTTTCATGCCAACAGCTTCCTCGTGCCCTTCCATCTGAGACCTCCCCCTCCCCTAGCTGGGGCACATGAGGGGAACCCAAAGTACAAGTACTGAATTAGTTTTTGCACCCAGCTGAAGTGCCTTTACCGCCCTTAACGCCAACCACATACTTCTCAATACAGATCCCGACAAGAAGGACTTTTTCCCCAAGCCCCAGCCCTGTCTATTTCTGGATTACTCTGAGGGCCAACAGGCAGCACAGGGAGTCCCCTATGAAGACCAAAGCTTCCTGTGCAATTACAGACACGTCTATGTTATTTTTGGATGAAAGGTGGGGAATTATTTTTGCCTTAAGGGTGATATTCCATTTTTCCACTTACCTTTCAATCCCTTTTTGGTTTTCGGTGCCTAACATTGGAAAAACAAACCACATTAACAAAATCAAACAGTGAACATGGCTGAAACTGAGAATACAGAATAAATTGTTGTGCCTTCTGCCAAGTCACCAGAGGAAAAGGAGCACCAATGGCATTTAGAGACAGAGCTCTTTATGCTTTCCCAGAGTTTCTGAGAATAGACTCATTCAGAGCACGGAAACAGCCCCCACTAACCAGCAATGGACACCACTGTGAGTGCCATCCGGTGGGCAGAAGTCTCCTTTTCCCTGATTTCCAGATGCCACCTGCAAACCCTCCCAGGCAGGATGTAACACGACTGGGAAGGTTTTCCCCTCATGTGTCCCTGACTTCTCAACACCAGCAAGGGACACTTAAAAATGCTTCCGGCTGGCCATTCAGAGGCCCAGAAGGCTTGCTCATCTTTTAATAAGTTTGGTATCAATTCTACCTCCCATCATTCTTCTCTGGGGACCATATCCTAGTCCTTGTCACCCAGCCCCTAAAGTTCTCCAGGCAGTCAAGATCTTGGGGGTGGAAGTAGTGGTGAGAGTCTGCATTCTGCCTACCATCTCAAGGCTCTGGGAGCTGCTTGTAGCTTGTTCACAGCGCTGTCCAGGTCATTTGAATTCTGCCCACATCAGGCTCATCCTCCCTAGTGAAGAAAATTCAAGTGGTTGATTAAAAATGATGTAGCTTTAACAGTGCTTGGGTCCAAGGCCCATCAAGGTTTCTCTCACTTTATCCATTCAAGAGATTAAAATCTAGTTCCATAAATTAAAAATTCCCTATAGGGAGAGGTACTTAGATGAGAAACAAAGTGCCCTCGGTGACTTAATGAGCTGAGGCCTGGAGATTGCTCACACAAAGTGCAGTGGTCCTCATCTCTTATCCTGAAAGAGGATGCAGGAGATGGTAGGTACCCATCTCAGAAAGGAGGTGGGTATCTGGTACTATGGCCAATATGCATTCCCAGGCAACACCCATGACTACATTTGTGCATTCAGCACGAAGAGTGGATGTTTGCGCTGGTTTTACTCCTTGAAACTATTTTCACCGATGGTGGAAATTTTTCCCTTCACGGTAACTGTAAATCCGACTTAATCCATTAACAGCGAAGTGTTTGACTCAGATTGTCACTCTCTCCTTACCCCTCCTGAGCATTACCAAGGCAGACAGTCCCTGCCTTGGAAGAAAGGAGTCAGAGAGGGTCATCTCTATTTGTCTGGTGTTGCAGGTCCTGTTAACAGAATGCAAAATTCATCTGGGATTACTTATAGGGGCCACTCTGAATGTTTCATTCTCTTTCTTTATAATGGCAATTTTCACGACCTACAAGTCCAAACACGTTTTGTCTCCCATCACACCGGAGAGCTTCTGCCATCTCCCAGGGATTCCGTCCTAGCCTCCCAGGCCGGGGGAATCTCTGAGAAGTTTGCAAAGGCCGAAAGTGCCACAGAGTACCATCGCGTCATCGCATCTGCTCAACCAACTCCGTGCCAGGCATTTAAAATCCTTAGCAAGGGCCCTTCCGGGTCACCCCGTAGATCCGGAGACTCCGCGCCCCTCCCTGCGTCACCCCCTCCATGCGCCCATCCCAGCTCAAGCCCGAGCGCGGCCTACTCTCCTCCCAGCCCCTGAAATCTCCCGGGTTACGCGCCATTCCCCGCGGAGGCGCAGCCGCTAGCCATAGCCGCTGGTCCGGTCCCCATTCGACCCCAACTCGCTCCGGCCTCCCGCTCCGGAGTCCCGCGGATGCCAATCTCTCAATCGGCCGAGTTCGAGTGAAAGGCCAAGCGCGAGGCACCCTGGGAGTTGTAGTCCTCGGTCCGTTCATTGACCAGAGTCAAGGGAACAGGGGACGCCGAGATAAACTACATTTCCCAGAGCGCCCCGCCGCGGCCGTTAGCTTCTGTTCGCGGCCCGGCGCGTTGCTAGGAGCTGGCGCCAGGCCACTTGGGAAGGAGGGGGGCGGGCTCTAAGGCAGTTCGGCTTCTTCCTCTCGGCCTCCCTGGGAACTGCCGGGACCTGGGTTCCAGGACTTCTTCTGAGGGCTGGCTTGTGGCCGGGTGGCGGGGCATGAGAAATGTACTAAGATTGGAAAATTGATGTGCGAAACCATGAACAATTATGTATGTGTCCCACACCCCGAACCTTAGGGAAATGGCTGTGACCGACCGTTTCAATTGTGAAAATCAAAGCTGCGGACACCTGGGTGGCTCAGTCAGTCAAGCATCTGCCTTTGGTTCAGGTCATGATCCCAGGGTCCTCAGATCAAGTTCCACATGGTGGGCTCCCTGCTCCGCTAAGTATCTGCTAAGGGGTCAGCTTCTCCCTCTACCCCTCCCCCCTGCTTGTGCGCTTTAACTCTCTCAAATAATCTTTAAAAAAGAAAGAAAATCAAAGCTGTGGAGTCAGAACAGAACGCAATACTGCCACCCAATAAAGGCACGTAACACATTTTGTGTTAACGACAGGTTTTATTAAGGATTTTTTTCAAATTTACAAAGGAAAAAGGGGGTGATGGTTTGGCTTACCCGCAGCCCACTCCAAGCAGGGCTGGCGGGTCACAGCTGTCCAATCATGGTTCAGAAGTTCTGGACCCGTGCACCTCCTCGGTACTCGCGCCTGCACTGACAGGTCCAGCCAGGGATGGGTAACAGTACATGCTAAACGCATCTTGTCAGGTGGGAACCAAACGCAAACCCGAACAGTAAAAGGGGAAAAGGTAGCAAGGAATTATACACTCTGAGGAATACAAGTAATTTCCTTGAATCTACAGCAATTGGAAATAAAATGGTGTTTATCTCAGCAGTCTGAATATTATGTGGAAGGTTATATGTTTGCTACCTAAACTACGAAGTAGTCAACAGTATTGTGGCAAAACAACCTATTTTGGTTCAGAATTCTCAGAATCACTCCCCAATTTTTCGTGATCTTCCTAAGATAATCAATGGCCCAATTAAATGTATTATTATTTAAGATTTTATTTATTTATTTGACAGAGAGACACAGTGATAGAGGGAACACAAGCAGGGGGAGTGGGAGAGGGAGAGGGAGAAGCAGGCTTCCCGCCGAGCAGGGAGCCCAATGCGGGGCTCTATCCCAGGACCCCAGGACCAGGACCTGAGCTGAAGGCAGACGCTTAACAACTGAGCCACCCAGGCGCCCCAAATGTATATTATTTTTTTAAAAATGTACTCATTTGAGCGAGAGCACGAGTGGGGTTGATCCCAGGACTCCAGGATCATGACCTGAGCCAAAGGCAGATCCTTAGTTGCCCCAGTGGCCCAACTAAATTTAAAGCAAAATAAAAACGAAACAAAAAACCCTTGGAATCTAGGAATTTGCAGGTCTGCAACAGCTAACACCTGGTAACTCTAAAGATTCCTTTTTCTTGTCCTCACTTTAAAAAAAAAGATTCCTCAAGTTTCTGTGTTTACCATCATGGAGCACAGGAATAGGTGAGAATTTAGTGTGTACAGCTAAAAGCGAAAGTCTATTGGTATTTTAAAATAAAAAATAACTTCAGTCACTTACAGTGTGACTTGGTCAGATCCTCCAAGAATGTAGTAGTAAATACTTAGCTGAAATGACCTCTGCATTATTTCATGAAAATAATCAAAATCTTTATCTGAGTAAGGAGAATCAACAAAAGACTCTTGGTCTCAGGTAGAAGAACCTTTCCTGGCACGGCTTGAAGGCAACCTAAGACCGCGGGCAACCTACACATTTATAAAGGTTAGCAGGTGTGCACACCTGCACCTCATCTCTTCCTAGTAAGACAGATGGAAAAGGCTCAGAAAAGGCAGGAGGGCTTGTGAGCCAAGCCATTGAAACAATTTTCGTTCATGAATTTGAATGTCATGTTTCTCCAGCCAAAGCCCTGCGCTGAAGAAAACCCAATAATTAAGACCTAGCATGTTTAGGATCTGTAAAATGCCTCCAGGTATATGAAATCTGAAATGACAGGCAGGAGTTCTCGGAAAGCATATGAATATAGTTAATGTTGCAATTAGGTCAATGTTCTGAAGATAAGCTGATACTTAGCACTGTTATGTCCTTAAGCCAAGAACATGAAAGAGGCCCCAAAGGCTTTGGAACCAACCGTGCTTTGAAACCACTAATGTCCACTGAAATACTCCTCTGTATATATCTAGTAGAGCACAAAGTAGAGCTCCAAACACTTCAGGAAGAATCAACCTTCATCCAATAGCAAAATCCTATTAAACCTCAAAATTCCAATTTTGAGTTCCTTGTTCATAGTACTTAAAAAAAAAAAAAAAGGCTTCTATCAGTATCTAATAGAAAAATCTCATTCTCTTAGCATTTATCATTTTAGAGAAGAGTAGGTTTAAATTTATCTTTGTACTTTTGGTGAAAATGGCTCACAAAAGAACCAAACTTATCTGTAGCACAGACCTGGCTTCTTTGGGAGTGCAAACTGGATCTGCCGCTGCCGACAAACAGGCATTCCTCCACTGGGGAGGGCGCGCTTTGCTTTATTCTTAGTGTTACCTGCACCTGATAACGTCATAAACCTGGACCTTAAAATTCTTCGTAGCTTAGACTTTTTAATTATGTGGCATTCTCTTTTCCTCGTGATAGTACAAATTAGGGAGGTTTTACTATATTCTTAGGTTACGGTGAATAAAGTACAAGACAATAATCCCAATGTTAATAAAAACAGTATCAAATATCAGATTTCACTTTTAAATAATACTCAAGGTGCTGGACTGAAGGTGGCTCTGTAGTGTCTACAACTTGCTCAAACCTGCCTAGAGAGATCCCAGATCTATGCAGCGGGATTAGGTGGGTGTTAATTCAAACACATTCAGATCCCAACTACAGATGTTCATCTGCGAATAAGGTATTTAACCACTAGTTTTGAAGCAATTCTACATTTAACAGGTCAATATTAAGCGATTTACTGTTATTTCCAAGAATCTGAACTATTGTCAAGATATATCCCAAAGAAATTAACACAGTGCTTGTTACTTCAATCTTAAAACAATTCCCAGTCAGCTCTCTTGGTGGAAGGATTTCTGCTGGCAATGAAAAGTCTCATATAACTGGTTTCACTGGGATAGATTTTATGTTGGGTCCCAAGGTAGGGATGACATTTCGCCTGAATTATACTACGTTCTCAAGACTGATTCTAGAACGGGCACCTGGGTGGCTCAGTTGGTTAAGCGACTGCCTTCGGCTCAGGTCATGATCCTGGAGTCCCAGGATCGAGTCCCGCATCGGGCTCCCTGCTC